CCCCATCGGCGCCAGATGACGTTTTTAGAGAAGTGGTCCATAAATATAGGAATTGACACTATTCTATTTTTTTCTGACGCTATCCCGAAACACGATTTTTCCCCTTGGGGAAATCTTGTTGTGTGGAGATCTTGTTATATTCATTTATTTTTATTGAGAACAACAACAAACATGGAACGAAGGAATGTTCGATAATATACGTTACCAGAGCTCAGAAAGTTATTAGACCCGTCTTATGTGAACATTTCACAATCCGGATAGCATTGGCCTATATCCGGCATGGTGAGCGAAAACACTTGCTTTCCATGCGACGAAAAACGTTTTCGCAGCGCTTCGTTCGTTCGACAATCGGTTGCAGACGTCTTTCCTGAATATCATGAACATACTTTCCGAGCATGTGAAGTAGAATACATGGCGCATACTGTATCTGCACCATGCATCTAATTTTTACATCCTATATAAAAACTCCTAGTTACCTGATGTTGTCGGCGTCCACGTGTAAATGTTTATTCCAATGCCAGCCATCGGTTCCATGTCCACATAAGTTTAGATCTGGCAATTCACTGAATGGAGATCCCCAAGCATCCTCCGTAACATTGTTACCTTTCCACCCATGGAACATGAAGTCTCCATCGTGCCATCTTAAAAACGGTGGATAAAATGAGTGTGTGGATAAAATAGATATCAATTTATCGACCAGCAGCACCGAGCGTCCTCCAGGACCAGCAGCGTGCACGAGAGGAGAGCATGGGGCAATTGGAGGAGGGCAAACAGCTGGTTCCTCTTATCGCCCCATACTCTCTACCAGGAGTCAGCTACCCTCCCATCTTCCTATACTCCACCAGCAGTCTGCTGCCCTCCTGTCACTCCTGGACGCTGCTGATCGCTGGTGGACGCTGGTAGACGCTCCTGGTCGCTGGTGGACACTGGTAGGCATTGCTGGTCGCTAGATCGATATCTATACTTTCCTAGTCGCTGACGCTGCCGGACGCTCGGAACGCTAGTGGTCGTTGATGGACGCTGCCAGTAGCTGGTGGACGCTGCCTCAGCCTAATAGCAATGGTCACGCTGAGAATGCGGGAAGGATGACTACGAAGGGATTCTACCCACTGCAAGTAGCCTAGCAGATGCTCATTGTCCGTGCTCCCGCTCGTCTGCGCTCTCTACAGAGATAATGTTCGAAACCGTTTGGAAGTGTTTTTTGCTTTACTTCGAAGAAAAACTTGACACACATTCAAATGGGAAAGGCATCCAAAAGGACCCCAAAAGAGGCGCGACCCCAATGATCAAATCGGAGGGAGGAAGCGGACGATTGGTGTAGGTTGAAGGGGCGTGAACATTACCAGTAACGATTCCACTGCGATCTCGCGCGCACGATCTGACACGTACTGCACTAGGGACCTGCCCGCACTGCACGTATTACGCTACGGACCTGGCCACCTTATTCACGGGAACCACTTTATCTCTCAGCTGAGTGCAGGATGTGCCTTCAAAGGCGCGTTCTGGGGACAGAAATGGGGAGCTGTGGGAGCCGAATACTAGGCGATTGCTCAGCAGCCAAGGGAAAAGAAAAAAGGCCAAACTGCTTTGGATGGG